AAGAAATTGGATGTAGAAAGAATTTTACCTTATTGTAAAAATTATCACATAGATCAGATTAGTTTTCACTTACTGGAGTCCAGCTGAACCTCACAGGGGTAGCACATGTCTGGGACCTACAGTCTGGGTACTAATACATGAGTTTCTTCTCCTTTCATTAATACTCAAATCTTTATACTAGAACCAGAAATGAAAGAGGTATTTCTACAATCCATAGGGACTTCTAGAGAGGTTACATAGTCCTCTTCTTGAAGACTATATTCTTATTTTGCTCCCAGCCCTATTCAGTCTTTAGATTCAATAATTATTCAGTAAGTACTTATGAAGTACAAATAATGAAGAAGGGCTACACTGGTAACCTCATGGTGTCAAGATAAAGGGAGTAAGTCTTCCTTGACAAGGTATGCCCTCTGCAGTGAACTGATGTGAGGATGCCCACCTTCAGGCAGTGACAAATGGGTGGCAACCTGCACCACTTAAGGAAATGGCCATATCAATGACATCACAGATCCATTTGAGTATTTGAATATATGCAAAACACAGTGCTGGGTTCCAACCAAAAAAAGGGCCTGGTCTCAAAGAACTTACATCTTTATTGTGGTAGACCTAAACATTTTATACAACATGGAAAAAAGTAACATATCAAATTTATAGATAACTATAGTTACAGTCTTTAAAAGTTCATTATACCTGGGTGAGGTAATAACAACAGTCATATTAACAGTCATAACAGGTATTTATACAGTCCTTTTAAAAGTGTTTAAAGCATTTTGCCTACATTATCTCATTTGACCTTCCACTGGCAACATTAGAAAACTTATAATTAGGAAGCCCCAGGTTCAAATAACACCTCTGCTCATTAGCTCTATAACCCCGGGCAAGTCACTTAACCTCTGGGTCTCAGTTTCTTCATCTTAAAAATGGAAATAATAATATTTGCATGGAATGTGTATGTAACAGGGTTATTGTGCGGAATATACTTTGCAAACTTTACTAGTAAATTTGTTAAAATTTTATTAAATGCATATAATTTAAATAATATAGACAAATTAAAGAATACTTTCAGATTCTTTTGCAACACACGTCACAATCTTCATGTAATTCTACATATATCCTCTAGACATTCACAGAGTGAGCTAAGATGGTAAGCATGAAGTCATCCAGATCTTTTTCAATACTAAAAAAGATGCATAATTTCATCAGCTTTCATATTACCTATGTGGGGACTGCAATCCCTTGATAGCCTAATCAAGTTTTCCAGAAAAGTGACAAAAAAAAAAGACAACTTAAGAAAAAACCCCCACGAGGCCACCTTTTTGGTGAAAGATTGCTCCAAACTCAGGCTAGTACTTTAGACAACCGGTGTTATCAGGGTTTGTACTCTCCATCAGGACCTAAGCTCCACTGGCATACCCTTGACACTAAGATCAACTTTATGTCATGACAAAATACAGGAAAGGGACTTGCAAGGGGAGATTTAACAAAATAAGTTACTGAAAAATCAAGATAATTTAAATAGAGAAAAAAACCCTATCCAACTATCATAAGAAAAATAAAAAGGAGAATCTAGGCCTAACTGCTTCTATGGTAGTGTGTTTTCCATTTGTCCTTAACATATTAAGACAAAGGTAGCAAGAACACTGCTCTTCAATACGCAGTTCACAAAAAAGGGAAGAAAGAACAGCTCGTCTCTCTGCACTAACGAAAGGAACAGTGGGAATAAGAAGAAGTCTGAGAGTAGAATGAGTAGCTAGGTGGCTCAACGTATAGAGTGCTGGGTCGGAAGACTCATCTTCCTGAGTTCAAATCTAATCTCAGACACTCACGAGCTGTGTGACCCTGGGCAAGTCATTTAACCCTATTTGCCTCAGTTTCCTCATTTGTAAAAATGATCTAGGGAAGGAAATGGCAAACCACTCCAGTCAATAAAACCCCAAATGGGGTCACAGTCAGATAGCTGAAAATGACTGAACAACTAATCCTGGGGTACAAATAAGGTTTTAACCAGTGTCCTGCCCAAAGATTACAAGAAAAAGGCAAAGAGAGTATATACTTTGCTTTTTCTTAACTTCAGAGTCACCATTATAACTCTGGGAATTCAAAGCTGGGCAAACATGCTCATCACAGTTTAACAGAACCATTTACCTACTCCAATCCTTACCCAAGAGCTATTTTTAGGCATCTGAAGAATGTGTATGAGTTAGAATCCAGTTCACATATATGAACATTTCATTTATACTTTTAAGAACTCATTTTTATGAGATTATGATAAATACTCATGTTTTACAAAAGCATCTCTTAACAAAATTTCAAATGACAAAAAGGAAATGGATTTGAAAATGGATGGGGAAAGATGCTGTTTAATGAAGCATAACACACCTGTACCCCTTACTAAAATGATATTTTCCTAAGGAAAGACTGAAAATCGGTATTTAATGTTTACATATTAAACATTTGGTCCAGCCACTTAAGAGTAAAATTATTTTTTTCTATCATTCACTAAAAGTAAAAGCATCTAAACTGCCAAATGGGTTTACCAAAATTGATTTGTCTTAAACTTGAATGGAATGACTTTTTTAAACTTAGGTTTCCATACTGATTTCAGTTTCCCACTTAACATGTAAGACATCTTTAGAAGTCTTTAGCAGTGCTTTAACAATAAGAGCAGCTATTCTCCTTTGAATGGAATTGTACATCTACCATGTCTAGAAGCCCTAGAGTAACATTCCACTCAGGAAGCCTACGCATAAGCAGTAAGGAGGGAAAACAAACAACTTTCCACCTCACATCAGATTTCATCACCCTCCTGAAATGAATAGGAGAAAATAAAGATACACCGGGAAAAAAAACTTAACATTTAAGATTCTTTTTTAGGTGAGCAGCCTTTCTAATAAATAGTTGATTAAGTATATTTTTTTAAAAATCCAACTGGGGCTTTCAATAAAACTACAATGTTGTAAGACTATTTTCTGCGGCAGAAAGATCTCCAACTTAGCTATCCAAAAAGCAAGGATTTATATTATCATCAGGAAAACCAATTAAAATGCAAACTATATACTCTATAAAAAGTTCCATATTTAAATAAATCAAACTGATCAGGTTGTCAAAAGCAACAGCACAACGTACAGCAGATGCTTCATAGAAACTAAAATATGCATATCATGCCAAGACTATTTTCCAAGCAGGTGGCACAAGAAACCACATAGTTCTGCAGTCAGCAGAGAGACAAATCCCCAAGAAAATATGCTTAAAATACAATGGCAGCCATGCTGTGGTCAAAGGATAATCAACTTGAACCTCCAGTACCCTCCTTAGAGTTTCAAGGTCAACAGTGAATTAATTTTGTCAGCCTTACCATCATGCCAAATTTTCCACTATATAGACACACACACACACACACAAGCAAGAAGACTGCAGCAATTTCATTATGTTTAAGGACAGTAAACCTCTAGAATCCGTAACTATAGAGGTGAATTTATTTACAACAAGCAATATAAAGCATTATGAACAAGGATTAAAACTAGCAATTTTCCATGTAGCATACCTGGGAAAGCTCAAGCTTTCCCACAGGCAAAGCATATGTACTACTGCAGGGCAACTTGTGTATGATTTCAGCACCACAGGCCAGAGCTTCACTTTTCTAACACCAGCTCTACTGCCACTATCTCCTATAAAAAGCACTGGAAGCTCACCTAGTGTCTCCAAAGAGTATGGGCATCTTGATAAGGCATATGACAAGGAATCAACAGATTAAACTATCCCAGGGGCTTCAGCTCTTGCAAGATAAGTGCCTTTGCTGAAAAGTGAAAATGCTTCATCTGGGACAATACAAGCCCTCTGATATTGCAAGAGTCTGCTCAGACTCCAAAAAGATTGTATGTTGTCAATCCTTTTTCTTGTAAATATGGATAAAATCTGCAGATACAGCCTGGGCAGGAAAGAGGGAGATAGACAATTTAAAATGGAAGTTGTGGTACTGCTCTGCTGTACACAGTACCCATGCCCTCACCACTGTCAAGCTATAAGCATCTATAAAGAGTTATTGATTACACATCTGTGTGACCTCTACAGTCTCTTTAAGCACCCACTGTCTAAGAACAATAGTAAAAACCTCTGCATTTTTTTAATCTGATCCAGACAAATCAACTAAGAAAGAAAGAAAGAAAGAAAGAAAGAGAAAGAAAGAGAAAAGAAGGAAGGAAGAAAGAAGAGAAAATAACATGCAATATAGAATTTTGAGAATCAAGGCACAAAAGTTCTGAGAGCATATGGAGATTCAAAAACAGAAAAGAAATAGAATACTGCTTTTCACTTATTCCTCCAAAAGTCCACTTCAAAATAAAGCATTTCCCTTTTTCCAAAACCCTGTTTAAATGTAGAAATGGAATTAGTTTTTAAATACTGTGTATACAAATTGATCTCTAAGCAGAGTTTATATACCAAACTCTGTTAACTATTTGTATTAAACCTCCTAAAGGGACTTAATATAGTATAAAATAGTTTAGAAAAAAACAAGTGTAAACACAAGGATTACTGTTTACACGTCTTAAATTTTTAGCTTTTATAATGGGCTACCTGATTAAATCTTAATTAGGTAGGCACTGTGCCTTATGTTGCAAACCACTCCATTTCTTGTTAGGTTAGTTTCTGAAGGCCAATTTTGACAACTACAATGTAATCATATTATGTAAGATTATATATGCTTTCTCTTCCTCCACATATAATCTATATATACACATATTTAAGATTTTTACCACACAGCTGTATAGCCCAGAACTCCAATAAAGTGCTTAGCTTCCTAAAATACAATGCAATTCCCAAGCGAATTATCAAAATTTCTTTAGTTTTCAATTAATATAATTATTTTAAATTATATTATGTAAACATAAAATTATCTGAAAGCCAGAGCACCGTACCTCTAACCTTTGTTTCCAACTTAGGTATTACATTCAAAGTTGTTCATATCAGTCAATAATAAACAAGGATGTTTCCACTCTTACCTGTATAGCCTGCACACCAACCCCAGGAAGCCACCATTGCTAAAAGCCACTTGTACATGATTCCTTCGATATACCAGAACCGCTTCCTGTCTAGCATTCGGAGAGGCTGAAGAATTATGATATAGAAGACATAGGATGGAATGGCGACCAAGTTATTTGTGACCATGAAGGCGAACCTCAGGAGGGCTTTCACAAAGGTCACACATACCCATGAAACTTCTTCTAAAGTCATAGCCATTCTCACGCTGGAGTCTGAAGCTTCTTCCTGCGGAGAAAGGGAAGTCCACTTATAAATTAAAATGAATTAAACACCTAAGTAGTTATCATCATCATCTACATAAAAGAAAAGTCCTGGGGGGGGGAAGGAGGGAAGAGTGTTAAGCCTACTGGGTATATTATCCACCGTGATCTACAAGGGAAACAGGGGGGGGGGAGGACTACGGAAAGAGGAATCATGCAAGGTCAAGGAGCTGCTGAGGTGCAAAGTATGTCATAACATATTTAGCAGACAAGAATGTAAACCCCAAATACAAATAACTGATCCCCTCCAATAATTTTTATTACAACCTTTGACTTTACTAAATAAATAAATAAATAAATAAATAAATAAATAAATAAATAAATAACTGACCCCCACAACTTCCCTCAAGCCTCCCACCTTTCAGGTACACCCACCCTCAAGATGCCCACGCAATCCTGGAGTCTACAGCAAAGTGGAAATAGCCACCAGCCCCCTGTCCGTTCCTGGGGACCACGGCGTCACCAGCCCCCTACTAGCACTGTTAATTAGCTTGGTCCTTCCTTCACGGGGTGCTTGCTTTCTCAGGAGCAGAAAGGGCTGATGGAGGCAGGGGGAGAAGGAAGGAGGAGGACGGGATGGGAAAGGGCAGAAAGAAGGCCGGCGCGGACAAGAAGCAAGGGGGAGAGTGAGGGGAAGGAGAAAACCAAGAGGTATTTTATAGCGGGGAGGGGCAGATAAGAGGGAGGAGCGAGGGAACGAAAAGGGGTAACGGTGAAAGCGGGGGTAAAGGGCGGGAGGAGGGGAAGAGGAGAAGGAGGAGGGCCCGAGCCCCCCACTCACCTTCCGCAGCTCCGCGGACGGGCAGCCGCGGGCCGGAGGGAGAGGACGAAGAAGCGCAGGAGGCGGAGGAGAATGGGGAGGAGGGGCTGGGGCCGGCGGGGCCGGGAGCCGGCTGCTAGGGGCCCGATGCTGCGGGGCGGCGGAGGCTGTCCCCGGAGGAGGAGTCGGGGTCATGGACTTGGCTGCGGCCGAACCGGCCCCGGGCGCGGCGGCGGCGGGCGGCCTCTCACTCCCCTTCCAGCTGCCTGCGGAGAGATGGAGGCCGGTGGGACAGACAGCAGACCTGTCACCCGGGCGGGGTCCCATTCACGCCGGGGGCGGAGAAGGGGTGCGGGCGGGCGAGCGGACGCCCCTGGGGCCGCCGCCCCGCCCGCCCCAGGGCCTACGGAGCCCGGGGTCCCTCCTCCACGGCCCCTTCTGACCCGCGGCGACGGCTCCGGCTTCCTCCCAGAGGACGACACCGACCTCTCCCCCCGCTTCCCCCCCCCCCCCCCCCCCGCCTCCGACCCCCCCCCCGCCGGCGCCCGCCGCCTCCGCGCCTGCCCGCCCGGCCCGGCCGGGCGGGGGGGGCGGGGCCCTCCCCGGCGCCCACCCCCCCCCCCCCCCGACCCTCTGACCCCCCGCGCGACTCCGAAGGCGGGTAAGAGTCGAGGCTATACCTCGGGCTGGCCTGGCCCCTCGCCGGGCTGCGGGGGCGGGAGGAGCCCCAAGAATTCATCGCCCGCGGCGGCTCTAGGCGACCTCGCGGGCGTGGACCCCGGCCTCGGGCCGCGCTTGGTATCCACGGCCCGCTGGCCGCCGGGAGACGCTACGGGGGAGCGAAGGCGGCGGCGGCGACGGCGGCAGGAGGAGGAGGAGGAGGAGGAGGAGGAGGAGGAAGCGGCGGGAGCCGAGACTGTGGCGAGCGCCGCCCCCAGAGCGCCCTCTAATGAGCAGCCGGGCCTCCGCTGCCGCCGCCGCCGGCCACCCTGCCCGCTGCCCTCTTCTCGGCCCGCCCGCCTGCCCGGCGCACGAGCCTCCCCTCGCGGCCCGCGCCCCGAGCCCGCCGGGCCCGGGCAGGTCAAGGACTAATTGGGAGCTGAAACCGCGCCAGGGGGGCCTCGCCCCGCTCACTCGGCTACCCTCTGGGGCTGGAAGGAACGCTGCGAGCCCGGGCAGACCTCGCGCGTAGAACAGGCTAGAAAAGGGGGCGTAAGGCCACCAACCCCCCCCTAGTGTGACCAAACAAAGTCCAAGTGGCCAAAGCCCCAACCCCAACCCCCGGGGACCTGGACTCTGGCTCTGCCGAAGCGCGCTCTGCGACAATTACCGTCACCGGTGCCCCAAGTGGAAAATGCCACTAGACTCCGTTTTTCCACCCTGGAAATTCTTCCGCCTTCCTCAAGAAATCTACAAGTCTGAATGGAACCTCTTTTAGGACTATTGGTCTTTCAAAAGAAAGGAACCAAGAATCATGGAGTGTCCATCCAATTTCATCACATAGTAAGGGCTTAATAAATGCTAGCCTACTAGTTGGTTGGAGAAGACCTGCAAGATAATTTATTGTATAAACTCGAAAAGGGGAACTTTTCCAGGCGGCAAGATTACCCTTCTTTCCTAGGACTAGAAAGAAAGCCAGTAGAAATGGCCCCTCTATTCGTGATGCTGGGCTGGAATAGGTATAACCACTAGGCAGACTTTTCACATCCTGAAGGCTTCAATTTGAAGAAGTGAATTGTCAGCAGGGAAAAATTAAAAATCCCAGGGAGGAAACAGAGATTTCTCAAGGGACATTCTCAAATCCCTGGTAATCTCAATTTCCTCTTCTTTACAGGGTCTCATATTTTTGGAGAAGTGAAAGGGAACCAACCTTCTCTACATATTACCTCCTGAAACAGTTTATTTTGTTCTAAATGTCTTGTCTAGTGGCCTAATGGCAGGGAGATCTGCCCATTTCAAAAATGCTATAGAACGTTAGGCTTGGTTCCAAGGTCTGGGCCCTCAACTTCCCTTGTCAACCTCAATTACTCTCTAGCCCAGGATGTGCAATCTAGACACTGTATTAAATGCTAGGAAAAGCAAAGGACAAGGTCCCAAGCCTTGTTCTGAAGGAAAACTAAAGATAAGGGAGTTGGTTGTTTTTTTGTCAAATTTTCCTTTTCCTTCAAGACTCCCCTCCCTTTTTTTAGTGAGAACTGAGAACTGTTTGTTGATTATATGCAATAGTATCAAAACTGGAAAGGACTTTATAAACCTCCAAGCCCTTCCAGGGAAGTGCCTTACCCAAAATAACTGCAAATTAGTGAGAGATTGGGAACTAGGACCAGAGCCTAGTAGTACTTCACCACCTACATGCTGTACAGCCTACATGCTGTAGGTTCCTCGGCCCTTTATTTTTGTATCCCAGTCTTTGCACTTAATAGGTGCTTAATGAGCAGTTGAATCCCCATTTCAAAATACTAAACACATCATGCTTATGTTCAACTGGGGCAGAGGGATGTACACAACATTACATAGATATCACACAAGATTGGTTGTTAGGGAAATGGAGAGAGCCAAAATAAAGTGCTTTAAGCAAGTCTGAAGTGAAAGAGGATGATTTCATCTGGAGGGGGTTAGGGTAGGAATCGGTATAACAGGGAAGGCTTTAGATGGCAACTGAGTTAAACTGAGAAAGATTTGAAAAGGCTGAGATGAGAAAATGCCTTAAGGTCACAGATTAGAGCTGAAAGAGATCTTCCCATTTTGCAGATGAGGAAACTCAGGCCCAAGGAAGTTAAATGATGTGCAGGCAAAGTCACATCATTATTCCAACTCTATAAGAATTTCCTTATTGGGTCAGAGCTAGTTTCTAGTTTCATATTCTGTCTGCTAAAGGAGGCACTATTGTGCCACAGGTCTTCTCCATGTACAACCTCATCCCATCCCCACTTTTCTTCTGCAATTTCTCACTGCTATGTTCTTTTCTGTTTTTAAATTTATTTTTTCAATTAATATCCTATTCTCTTCACCATCACCACACCCTGTTGGGGAAAAAAATTCTTGTAACAAATATATATAGTCAAGCAACACAAATTCCCATGTTGGTCATGCTTCAGAACTATAACCTGTTCTGTACCCTAAATCTATCACCTATTTGTCAGGAGGTAGATAGAATGTCTCATCATGAGTCCTCTGGGAACTGAGGTTGGTCACTGCATTGATCAGAGTTCTTAAGTGTTTCAAAATTGTTTGTCTTTACAAAGTTGGTGTTAGTGTATAACTTGTTCTGTTCATTTCACTTTGAATCAGTTCATACATGTTTTCCCAAGTTTCTCTGAAATCAGCCTTTTCATCATTTCTTAAAGCACAATAATTGTCAATTACATTACTATACCATAATTTGTTCAGCTATTCTCCAATTAATCGGAACCCCCATAGTTTCTATTTCTTTGCCCCTACAAAAAGAGCTGCTATAAATATTTTTATACATATAGGTCCTCCTCTTCTTTTGATGTCTTTGGGATATCACCTTTCCTCTTAACCTGGGGTCCCAGCCATCCATTTTTGCCTATAGGAAGGGATTTAGACTCTTCCCTTTTCCTGTTCCCTGAAAAAAAAATAATGCTTCTTTTAATTGTTCATAATGGTTTTACTACTAAACCCTACAAGAAACTGTTATTCATTCTTTGTTTTCAAAGAGGACCAATGGCGATTAGATTTAAGTGAGGCAGAGCCTCACTCTCTCTTCTAGAGTCACTCAAGTCCAGTCAAGATGACTGGCAGTGGTCCGGGATGCAGTGGTTGACCGAGGCGTCTTCAGTGCCTGACCAAACTCTAAGCACTTCACAATGGCCACGTCAGCTGCTGTCAGGGAACAAATTGTTCTGATCCACTCATTCCACAAGGGGACGTCTTCACATGCTTGGGGTAGAATCCCCCTAACTAAGCCACAGATTTGAGGCCCATTGTTTACCCTCAACCTGGTTTAACCCATAGCCCTAGAGCCAGAGGTGCTAGTCCTCCCTGAATAGCCCATACACCCCCCAAACATACGTGAGGTTAAAATGATAAAAGTAACATTTTCAAGTTTACCTAAGTCTTGACAGTCACACGTGGTACTATGCACAAAGTAAAGGGGATCAGGTCTTAATAATATCCAAGTTCTCTCTCTCTTGCCTCACAGAAATTTATCTGCTGGTTTTTTAATCTACTCAGCCTCATGACATCTTTAGGCAATGAATCTCATTGTTTAGTATGAATTTAGTACAGGGGTCAGATAGACACTATACAAGTACCTTTGATGATAATAATAGAACTCAGATACAAAACAATCTCTCATACTTTTGGAGACAGTTGAAGAGCAAGGATCTTAAGTGTTCAACTATTATAGAAGTTATGTTCCTTAACTGTAGAGTCAGATAACAAAAAATAAATCAAGTCATTCACACCTTCAGACACTCCTTGAGGAGGGGAAATATATTTAGACACTCATCTTGTTGCCGCACATAGTCTAATAGACATTTCTAAAAACCTAAGTCCTTATATTTACCTGAACCACAAATATATTCCTTTGTGGAGAAATATAACTTGGATATTGTTTTTCTTATGTCCCCAGCCACCTGAAGACAACCCAATCAGATTTAATTCTACCCATCTGGTTCACATGGGTATTGCCAATTAGGTTTTAACTAAAGAGAGGTTCCCTTGGGGCAGAGAAGTCCTTCAGGACCTCTCTTCCTCCTAGTGGCAATTATAAACCAGATTTCACCTACCTGTCTGAAGTCAATACTGAACTTGTAATAAGCAATTCTTCTAAATATTATTACCACTATAGCAGGACTCCTGAGTTGCTGTGACTTTTCACATAGTTCCACCACCACCAATACCCCACTATATTCAATCATTAGAAAACTGAAACAGCTTAGAAATTATTTCAGAATAGTTCGGCTTCTGAGTTGCAGTTAGCTTTTGTTTCAAAGGAAAATGAATGTATATTTGAATTATACATATGTATGTATATTATGTGCATGTATATTGCTTTCTTAAGTATTATTTCTGATGGTCATTTTATATTAAAAAGCATAAGAGTTTATAGCCCTCAAAATTTTTATTAACACTAGATTAAATAATGATTGACTCT